TCCAACAGAAATTCCAACAAAAATATTTCGTTGGAATGGATTTTCCACTGGAATTTCCGTTGGATTTTGACGATTCCAACGGTGGATTTTCCAACGGAGGTGGAAATAAAAAAAATCCAATAGAATTTGCATATTTCAACGGAAATTCCTACGGTAAAATGTCGTTGGAAATATAGCCGTTGAAATCATCAAATTCCATCTAAAATTCAATGAAAAACATATTCCAACGGAATATTTCCGTTAGAATTTTCGCCGGAACCATTCCAACGGATGTTATACCATTGGAATATCCGTTGGAATTTCCATTGAAACATATTATATTATTACCATAGGATTTTTCGTTGGAATATAACAATTATTTTGTAGTGCGTAATTAAAAACTAAGTAAATATGTTTTGTATAGTACAACTACAAAAATATATAACAAATGTGAAAAAAAAAAAAAAAACATTAACTAAATTTATAATAAATAATCTAAATTTTAGTTTCAATAACAAATGTCATGCCTTTTTTTATATATATTTGTTCAAGCTTGAAATATAAATATAAATATAAATGTGAGTTTCAACTAATTATACATGCTTACGGTTAAACGAGTCGGACAACGGGTTTTCTTACTACCCAACCCACCCGACCTGAAATTTTTTGCTATCAAATATACACGAAACTTCATTATCCCAAATTTTTTCTATAAAAATTTGCGAGTAATTCGATTCTACGGATATTATTAATATTCGCAATGAATTTGTAATTTTCTCTATACAAAACTTAAAAAATTATTGTAACCAATAATATTTAGAGGAAATTACCTAGTGCATTGTACATCACCAACTTTACATTCTTACAACCCATGTATAATTAATTGCAAAAGAACTAAAAATATATATTTTATTTGCAAACATACCATAAAATTAATGTACAAGTTAATTACACGGTGATATAAGATATTATACTAGACCGGGTTAATGGATAAAACGAATACATATTGGAAGATAAGCTCACATACGGACTAAGCATAATGACATGGGCCAAGCCCAACTTGAGCCCAAAAGGTACACTCCCCCTATAAAAGGGGGCTAAGGTAGTTCATTCTCTCTATTCTCTCCTCATTTCATTACTACACTTTCTCTCACATGATCTGAGCACTGACTTAAGCATCGGAGGCCCGACGTCGGGTCCACCCCCGGCATTGGGTTCTACAGGTGCGGAGGCCGTTCGAGTTGGAGGAGCCCGAGTGAAATCTATTTCACTTCACACGGTAATGATGGTAACATCGGTTTTTTAAGGAAGTTATTATCAATAAAGCAAAAACTAAATCCACAAATCAAGGGAATAACTCCCAAACGTGCTTATAACCATCCCGAACCGCCAACTCTTATTTCAACTTGCTGTTAAATTTTTTCGGCAAACCTAAGATGCAACTACATGGCGAAAATAAAAATTCCGCCGGATGTTGGTAAAGACTCATCAGCGGCACTGGCGAGACTCCACAAATGAGGTTGAGATCACGCCTCCGATATCTTCAAGCGAAAAGTGTTCGATACATGGTACAGAAAAAACTCAATTTCGAGAAGAGAATTGAAGTCGGTTGGTTACAGGAAGAAGACGGGTAAAATTCACTGTGAAATCGACGATTTTCAGTTCGAGAAGTGGATGGAGAAGAAATTCGGCAAGAAGATCACCGCTTCGGACGGGATTTGCCCCCAATTTGTAGATTAAGGAGCCCCGGAGATGGAGTCGGACGTCGATGCGGTGGCTTCTTTTTTCAATCTCTGCGGTTGTTTTTTAAAGAGACAACAATGGACTCGGACGGTTGTGCGTCCCTCCCACTTCATTCCCAGTGGGGAGGTTAAGTTGCATACGACGAAGGCAAGGCTCGAAGCTCGAGCTCGTGGAGATGTCAGCAATATATGTTGTGTGCATAGACAATATATTTTCAGTATATATTTTCGTAGACACAATCACATATACGTTTTCAATGAATTGACCTCAGTATGTGTAGTTTATAAAACAGGTTAATGCACAGGCTAGGTTTCCCATGGTATGCACAATTGTCAATTGTATGGTTATGTTGAGTATATAATCAGTGTTTTGTTTTTTTACTAACATACAAAGTTAAATTAACAAGGTGTTTGTACAACTGTACACTCTATGTTTATGTTTAGTGCATAATGTATTGTTGGGTTTTTACTAATTTGCATATGTCTGTAAAATTACCTCTATAATGTGTGTTTATGTTGAGTATATAATGCATTATTATTTTTTTTTTTTTAATAACATGACCAATCACTACAATGGTATACAATATGCTTATATTGAGTATATAATCCGTTACTAATATCACAATTACATAATTTTTTGAAATAAAGTAATGAAATAACACAAATAAACTCAAATGATGAATATAATCAAACATCCGACTACGAAACACTAATCAAACAACCTTTTTGTTTAGTGTTCCATGTTTTCTTTTTCTTTAATCATGGAAGTCATTAGTGTCTCATTTCTTTGGAAGATGATTCAAAATTCAAATTTTCTGTTGAACGATTTTTTAACAACCTATAAAAATTACGTTTTTGTATATATAAACATTCAATATATAACGAATTCATATATATTTTTATTTAATTACACATAATGTATGCAATTTTAGGGTGTTGGGGATTTTTTTTTGTTGCACATAGATTTAGGCATACATACAATTATTTATCATCAATCCGATATTGATACAAATAATTTTTGCCAACCGTATATCTGCAATTATTTTAGTTTGAGATTAGTAAGTGTGTAAATTCATTAATATTTACCCATACTTATTGGGCCTGAAGAATGAGATATTACAAATCATGGGCTTGAACCGCCAAGTCTTCCACAGACCCATTTAAAACATCTCGACTATATAACAGGTCCACAGCCTCATCTCAAACCCTAATTTCGTAACATAGGCTGAGCATTTTCAAAGCACTGAGAGCATTTTGCTGCCTCCTCTGAGCTGCATCGAAGATGAAGGTTTCTCTCTCCTCAATTCTCTCTCTTCAATTATCTCTAAACCCGTAGATTCATGCTTTTAATCTCTATAAAAATTTGATTTTGTGATGTTTTGTTTTGTTTTTT